AAGCGGAACCAACGGATCGCCAATCACGGAATCGTTCCGATAGAACTTATCGATGAGCTCCATCGGAACGATTCCGTAATTGGCGATCCGCTGATTCCGCTTCCGCGTAATCCGCTCCATGGAACGCTGGCCTTAATCGGGTTTAATAACATCTGTAGTTATAAGACTGGCCAATCACAGCCGTTCCATTCTTCAGGGGAACGGCTGTGATTGGCCAGTCTTACAACTACGGATATTATTACATCCGATTAAGGGTCGACAGGCGACATGGTGGAGACGCCTATCGGCCGGCCGGGAATTACGGATTCTTATTTTCCAGATATTAGCGAAAATATTGAATGAATCTTATTAAATTTAGGATATTCTTAATCAGTAAGCTCATTTGTAGTCCTCTAAAGAGCTATTTTATGAAAAAAAGATAAAAATAAAAATTTTTAATAAACTTGGGGGAATGCACAGCTAGGAACGGGTAAGGTTGGGTTAGCCGCGAGTCCGTATTTTATTTATTATAAATTTTTAAGAGCGAAAATGTAAAATCCGGCCTTTTAGAGGACTGCTTTATTATATAAAGAATATATTAAAAAAAAATTCACGAAGTTATGTCACTTATTTTATGAAATATCTGGACGATAAGATTCTCACTAGATTCATAAGGAGCAGGGGAAATTTCTGTGGTAACATGCTGACTGCTTGACAAGGAGAGAGCATCATTCCATCTTTGTCTCTCTTACATCGCATATGTAGTAGCGTCCATGTAGGTACAAAAACTAATACGTGAGCACACGGATGCAAATATTGAGAGATAATGTCAGCAAAAAGGCTATCATATTATTTTTATTTTTTTGTATATGTATGCATATGTAAATAAAGAACAAAAATAAAAACTATTTTAAATAATAAGAATCTATTTGTGTGTGTGTGTGTGTGTAATTAAAAATTAATAAAAAATCAATTTATATACCATATATTTTTTTTATATCATATAAAAAAATCTTAGAAATGTACTTAAATTTTTCGTAGATCCTCGATTTTTTTCATTGCTTCTAAACATTCAGCTAAAAGAGCAGTTGAGACTATTCGAATAAAAAATATTTCATCTTATTTTTTGCAAATAATATAATATATTTTTTATTTAGGAGTCCAAAAATATATGTTACGCATAAGTTATTTATAATTTTCGTTCAAATTAAGAGAATATTGTATTGAATATATTGTAATGCATATACACATTAATTTTCATTAATTTACTTGTTTAACAAAAACATGGTTTTTTGATAATAATTTAAAATTATTTCTGCTCAGTGATTTTTAAATAGCCGCAGTATATTGACGGTGCAAAGATAGCATAATCAATTGTTTTTTAAATGAAAACTGGAATGAAGGAATTGATTAAAGCTGTTTTAATTTGTAGATTTAAAATTTAAATTTTAAGTTAAAATTCTTAAAAGAAATTATGGGACGAGAAGACCCTATTAAATTAATATAATTTTTTTATTTAAGGAAATAAATTTTATTTTAATGATTATATTTTATTGGGAGGATAATTAAATAAAATGAACTTTAATTTAAAGATAATTTTAACATTAATTAATGAAATTTTTATAAAGGATTGATTATTAAATTAAGAAAATTTTTTTTTTATAATAATTATAAAAATTAATTACCTTAGGGATAATAGCGTAATATTTTTAGAAAGATCATATTAATAAAAATGATTGCGACCTCGATGTTGAATTAAAATAAAAATTAAATAAAGAAGTTTAATATTTTAGTCTGTTCGACTAATAAAATTTTACATGATTTGAGTTCAGATCGGTGTAAGCCAGATCGGTTTCTATCTATAATAAAATTAAGAAAATTTTGTACAAAAGGACTTTTTTTTAAATTATATTTTTTTTAATGAATAAATTTAATTGATCAAATATATGTAAATAAATAAAATTACTTTGGCAAAATTTAAGTGTATTAAATTTAGAATTTTAATGATGTATAATAGAAAAAAGTTATACAAGTAATAATTTGTCAAAATTTAAGATTATATTTTTATAGTGCGTTAAATATATTAAGATTGTTAATTTTGTTATTAATTATATTAGTTGGGGTAGCTTTTTTAACTTTATTGGAACGAAAAATTTTAAGATATGTACAAATTCGTAAAGAACCTAATAAGGTGGGATTTATAGGATTATTTCAATCTTTTAGTGATGCTATTAAATTACTTAATAAAGAATTATTTTATGTATATAAATCTAATTATAATTTTTTTATTTATGTCCTATAATTAGATTTGTTTTAATAATAATATGATTAGTATTTCCTTACATTACTAATATTTATTTTTTAAATTATTCTATTTTATTAATAATTGTTTTTATAACTATTAGAGGGTATGTTATAATTTTTATGGGATGATCAGCTAATTCGATTTATTCAATAATAGAAGCAATACGATCAGTTTCACAAATATTATCATATGAAGTAAGATTTATTTTAATTATTTTAGTTATTATATTAATAAGAGAGAGATATTCTTTTTTTGATTTTATTAATTATCAATTTTATTTATGATATATAGTAGTTTTATATCCTTTGTTTATTATAGTGTTTATTAGGATTTTAGCTGAATTAAATCGAAGTCCTATAGATTTTATCGAAAGTGAGTCAGATGATTTAATATTGAATATTTTAGGGGTGGGTTTACATTAATTTTTTTATCTGAATATGGAATAATTATTTTTTTAGATTAATTAGAATTTATATATTTAGGAATTTATTAAAATATTCAATAATTTTAACTTTTATTTTAATTAATATTTTATGTAGAATAGTAATTTTTATACATGGAATACTTCCTCGAATACAATATGATAAATTAATATATTTATGTTGGAAAATTATTTTACCAATAATTTTGGTTTATATTTTATTAATTTTTGGATTTAAATTTATATTATTAATAATAATTTAGTAAAAAAAATTAAATGTTTAAAAGTTAATAGAAAATTAAAATTTCTTTAATATGTTTTCAAAACATAAACTTAAATTCAAGATTATTAACTTAATTTAATAGTAATTTATAAAAAATTTAAATATTAAATATAATTATTTTTAATATTTTAAATTTATTTATAATAATAAATTTTAAAATATTTATTTAAAAATAATTAAATCTCAAATTTTTATTAGGAAAGGTAATAAGATAAAATAAAGAAAGTAACATAATGATAAAATTTGTCTAATAATGATAAAAGGTTGAGCTCCTGCTCATGTTAATAGAATAAAAATATTAATGAAAATTCAAAATAAATATTGATTTAAAGGATAAAATGATAATGAATTAAATTTTATAGAAATTAGAGGTAAAAAATATAAGATAATAATTGATGATAATAATGCAATTACACCTCCTAATTTGTTAGGGATAGATCGGAGGATAGCATAAACATATAGAAAATATCATTCAGGTTGAATATGAATTAAAAATGTATTTTATAAATAAATAAAATATTATATATATATAATATATATATATAAGTGTATATATATATATATATATATATATATATATATACAGATATGAAAGAACTTACGAGTAACGTATGATGGCTCAATGCAAGAATATTTAATCACGTAAAAAACTTGAGTTCAAATATATCAATATCAATTTTTTTATAATATATTAGAATATAGAAAATCATAGAAATATATTTTTTATATAGGCGATAAACTTAAAAATTTGATATTGAAAATATTTTAATCATTTTACAACTACACACACTATAAATATATAAATGCAAAATACTTCCGTAAATAAATTTCAATAAATCAATTGCACACATGCACACAGCTGGTATGTAGATTTTTATTAAATTTATTTTCTGAATTATTTTACACTTATATATATGTAGTAAAAATATTTTCAATATATTAAAAAATTTTTAAATCGCCGAAATATATTTTATCATTTTTCTATATTCCAATATATATATATATATATATATATATATATATTGTATTATAAAAAAATTGATATTGATATATTTGAACTCTAATTTACTGGATGATATACTGAACATCCTTGCATTGATTATATATTACTCAACGGTACGTTCTTTCACGTTATAAGTTATTGGAGCAAATTATACAATAGCATCAATAATCAAAAAGAAATCAAGAATAATCAACATATCCCTTATATAAAATATATACATATACGTGTACCTATGTTATAACATACGTAAATTACGAGTTTAGTTTTTATTTATACAATTTATAATTTGAATTATTGATTAATTTTAATATACATAAATTATAATAATACACTTTTATATTACATATATTGTAATAATTTATTTATTTTTACGTACGTTCAATTTATCTGTTTCCTGCGATTCCGCCAAAACTCCGTGGTCCAGGGTCTTGGTCCGTAGTTGCGCGCGCAAACATCATACGTTACTGTAGTCGTCATGGTTACGTCACGGTAATACGCGCATGCGCGAAAAAACCTAGCCCGTCTAACAACACTGCGACCGACCTGTCGACCCTTAAGGGTGCCGTGTAAAGGGCCTTATTATAGACCCCGCTATAAGCGGGGAGCACACACTTTTGCATAAGCGCATAAGCATATGCATAAGAAATTCGATTGGTTAGAATTTCTTATGCATACGTTTATAGACCAATCAAGATTATTATGCTTACGCTTATGCGCCTATGCAAAAGTGTGTGCTCCCGCTTTAAGAATCTTGATTGGTCTATAAACGTATGTATAAAGCGGGATCTACAATAGCAGCAGGAATACAGAGTACAAGAGCAGTAAGCAGTACGAAATGGGATTCGCTCATTTCGTCGGGAGTAACGGAATGAGCCAATCCCATTTCGTACTATTTACTGCTTACTTTTGTACTCTGTACTTCTGCTGCCATTGTAGACCCCGCTTAAGAAATTCAACCAATCGAATTTCTTATGCATATGCTTATGCGTTTATGCAAAAGTGTGTGCTCCACAGAATCGCTTTACAGAATCGATACGACTAGTCTCTAGTCTCTTCTAGTGACGATGAATTCGACTTTCTTCTCACAAATTCAGCTGAGTTCAGCTAGGACGTAATACAAACATGGCTTCGTGTGTGAAAAACATGACTCGATAGAAATGAAGGGCAATAAGCAAGTTATTGCTGATTCAACCACGCGCGTGATACAACGTTTTACGGAGACGCTTTGTCGAACTTTTAGCTCTATCGACTCCAATCATCTTGGATCTTAATTCGCATCCGATATCGGACAGCATGGAGAACGATATGACTGACGAGTGTAATTCGAGCGAGGAGGAGGACAGCCCGTTGAATTCGCGGAGGTCGTCATTTTCCAGGAGGAATCTGGGCTTTCAGCCGCAGAAGGAAATGATGTACAACAGGTTCCTGCCGTACGCGGACAGCCTCGACAAGGAGTCGCAGGAATGGCTCGCCGAGATCAAGGGAAATCTAGGACGAGCCGTCATGCTTCGCGAGCTCAATCCAGGATGCGTTTTATGGACCAACAGATTAAATGTGTAAGCAAATAATATAAAGGATTGAACAAGTGATAGATAGATACAAGGTGTCTCGTAGAAAATTAATCAGTTGTTTAATCAGCATTTTTGTAATGCATGCAAGTTATTGAGAAAACAAAAATGTATTGGAAAGTCTGCAGATTTTAATACATAGATATAAATAAAATGTTTGTTTACCAGTTTATTTAAGAATATTTATTAAAAAAATTTATATACATTTTATTAAAAAAAGTAATGAAAAAAGTGCTAATAATCAAATAAAATCAGATAAACATATATTAAATTTTAATTTATTTAGTTGACTAAAACTGGCATTGCTTTATTGTATGAAAAATTACATAACGTTCCAACCACTATTTGTGGTCCTTATCAAATGTAGATAGAATCAACAAGAGAACAAGAATATTACTTTACATTTCATTTTCTTTTTACAATTATAAATACTAGACAATCAAGAAATTAAGTAAAGAAAAAGCCAAACACTCATTATTGGTGATTGCAAAGGAAGATGTTAAAAAAGTGTTAATTTTCGCTTTCAAATGCAAAGTAAATGTTGAAAAATCATTGTTTCGATTCTTAGGTAAAAGAAAATGACAATTATTTGTTTGAGGAATAGTGGGAACATTGCTAAAATGGCTTAAATGTAGTAAAAAATAATTTTTTTTTTTTTTTTTTTGAAGTTTAATGTGTTGTTAACCGGGACAATCTGTGGTTATATTGACATATACTTTAATTCTTTTTAAACCTTGTCTCGTATTATTGATTTCTTGTAAGTGTTATGTTTCTTGACACCAGTCTTTTGTTAGCCTATTTACTTTAGTTTATTTTTCCACTTTTTTGATGGCTCTATATTAATGTTCTTTAACCACTCATCAATATTATATGGATATTTAACATCTAATTTTTCTAATGTCCAATATAATATATTTTTTGCCTCCTCCAGTCTATCACATCTAAATACGAAGTGATATATATCTTGTGGTTCTCTTTCACAATATATGTTTTTCTAGCTAATGACTCTTTTAAGTTGTAATGGTTAGCTCTTAATCTATTAATTATAGTAATTAAGCTGCACAATTTATTTATACTATTAAACCAAACTTGTCTTGCTTCTTTATTATAATATATGTTAAAAAACTTAATTCCTTTGAATTCGCCTTTTTGTTCTATTCTTTTTCTAGTTCTATTAAACATTTCTTCTTTAAAAATCGCTGTCCAATCTTTAACTGGAATTTTAATTCTATTATCACTTTCCTCCTCTGTAGCTTCTTTAGCTAAATCATCTGCTACCTCATTCCCCAGGATGCCTAAGTGACTCGGAATTCAACCTATTACTATTTTAATTTCCTTGTCTTCAACATTTATGTTATTTGTTTATTAATGTATTTTTTCTTTTATTTTATATATTTATTTGATATATTTATTCTGATATACATCTAGTTTGTTACTTTGTAGTGCTCTACATGCACTCATAGAATCAGTTAATATTAACACATCTTTTTTAATATTATTGTCTAGTACATATCCTATTGCTTTTTCTATGGCTACAACTTCTGCAGTATAATTAAAGCACCTATTACTAATGCTAATTTTATACGCTATTTCACTATTTTCTATTGCTATACCTACCCCGGCGCTTATTTTATTTTTCTGTTTAGACCCATCAGTATATATAGTTATATGATCCTCACTTAAATTATATCGCTCCTTAAATCTATCCAATAAATCTGCATCACTAAATTTACTTCTCTTTCTTTCTTTACCAATATTCATGTGTATCTTCACTTGTTCAATTAAGGTAGTTCTATCGTTTTTCACAATTCTTACGAATTTTTAGAAATTTTAATATGTTGTAGACGGAGTTAATATCTATCGATTACGAAATTTTGAAGTCAATTCACCGTTTAGTTTAACAATTATTTACAATTAAAAATAGCATTTTTTCTATATACCGCGTAAAAGGATAGCATTTTCATCACATTTTAATATATAACAATAGAACGGATCTTACGATTTTAATAAAAAATCAGTGGGGTATACAATATGAGTGTGGGATTATTTAAAAAAAAATAAATAAATTTTTTCTACCGTTTAGTTTCAAAGATATTACTTTTTAAAGAAATGAATTTTTTTCCAAACGGAACATGGAGAGAAATTGCGATGATGATGTGTATTCATACATGAGCTGTTTCTATGTGAAGAGGTTCAGACTGTACAGACTCAACTAAAATTGTTACTACGGTAACATTGTATAAACGATGAATTTCCTTATCGATTAGAGGCGAAACTTTTAGTTATATTGTAGCGATAGAACTACTTTAATTGCCAGTAATTGTCGTTATATATTTTTAATTTGCCTACTTTATCTAATTCTGGTATGTATCTTCTAAAGTTCCTCCATGATTCCATAAAAACATTAATTTTTCTCTAGGATTCGTAAGTCTGTGGCTACATTCCATAATTTCTAATCTATTCATTTGATCAACCAGGTCCTTATCGCCATACTGGTATAATTTTATCCAGAAATTCCTAGCTTATAGTCCCACTCTTTCTTCCATTCTCATTACTTTAGCCTCCGCAAGCATTATATTAGTTGGTGTGCTGTTTCTATAGCCTAATGCTATTCTTAATTCTTTATACTGTAATTTTTCAATTTTTTCTTTTCCTCTAAAGTCTTTTGGAAAATAAACAAACAGACCATAGTTTATAACCGACCTTATGTAACTCTTATATATTAGTAAGGCTGTGTTGGTCTCCATACTCCAGGAGACTCCGTTAAGGAATTTTAATATACTGCATGCCCTATTTGCTTTATTTTTAATCAGGTCTACTTGTTTGTCAAATTTTAATTCATTATCATATAGAATCCCTAGAAATTTAGCATTTTTGACACATCCAATGTAACTATTTTTAATCTTGATTCGAATCCTATTATCTAATTTGCTTGTCCTATTGAAATCGATAATTTGTGTCTTTTCAGGTTCTAGTTCTAAACCTAAATTAAGTAAATTTTCATGTATTGTCGCTATTGCCTCTTCTAGTTATTCTGCTAGTTCCCCAAGCTTTTTTCCTGTGACATAAATCGCTATGTCATCTGCAAATTGCGCTACTTTAACGTTATATTTAATACCCTCTGTAATATCTTTAGTATATAAGGCGTAAAGGATCGGACTTATAACTCCTCCCTGTGGCAGACCTTTGTTCACCATTCTATACACTTCTTCATCATTATTCACTATTTTGTTTTTCTATCTACCATCCATTCATTCACGTATTTGACAATTTTGATCGGGCATCCTTCTTTTATTAGTTTCTTAATTAATATATCTCTTCTCACATTGTCATATGCTGATGACACATCTAAGAAAGCTGCAAGTGTATGATGATCTTGAAGCATTCCTGTCTCCGTCTGAACGTTGAGCCTCACTAAATTGTTCATGCACGATCTTTCTTTTCGAAATCCAATATGATTTTTATCTAATTTATAGTTGTTCTCGGCCCACCACACTAGTCTGTCATTAACCATTCTTTCTGATACTTTATTCATGCACGATGACAATGCAATTGGTCTAACTTTCTCTTCATTGCCTTTGTCGGTAAAGATGATCTGGTACTCTTCCCATTCTTTGAATAGTCGTTCATTTAAGTAACAATGGTTAAACAATGTCAATAATTCTTCTTTAAATTTCTGCGTCAGATTCTTGATCATTTTATAGTCAATTTGATCTCCTTCCAGGGGCTGATTTTTCTCTTACACTATTCATAACTCTATCTAATTTATCCATAATAAATAGGTTGTTCATAAGGTCATTGTTGTTCTCATTAATAGTTGGGGTCTCATAATTTTCTTTATCCATTTTCACCCATGGAAGGGCAATCTTATCTATCTTATCTTTTAAATCTCTTCTCTGTTTTTTACTTGCTACTTATTCCATTCTATAGTGTTAAAACTATTTTTTTTTAATTCTCATTGTATTCCAAACATAATTAATGTTTATATTCTTATTTAGGCTGCTGGTAAAATCTCGAAAATTTTCGTTTTTCTTCTGTTTGATTACTTTACGGGCTATCGCTCTGGTCCTTTTATATTCTATAAAGCTGTTGAGGTCTTGTTTTCTGATATATTCCTTCAACGATTTTTTCCTATCTTCAATTACCTTGTAGCATTTGTCATCCCACCATTCAATCGGGTTTTTCTTTTTTATCTTTTTAGATCTTATTCTTAGTTTATTATCTCTTTTCTTAATCGTATGTCTATAAGTTGCTATTTGTACTGTTTTTTTCATGATGTTGGTGATTCTTGTATATTTTTCCTGCTCCTCCATGTGTATAAATTCCTGATTAAATATCTTTTATTTGTCTTGCTTTAAAATATCTGTGTAATTATTCCAATTAGTTTTGACTGTAGATATTCCATTTGTTTTCTTAGTATATGGACATCTCCTGACATTGATGTTACATATAACTGGAAAATGGCCAGATCTCCATGAATCTTCTCCTTGATGGTATTTTATTAGACTAAAAAGATTACCGGAACTAAATACAAGATCAAGATTAGTAAAAAATAATATCTACATATAAACGGTTAATAATTGGAAAACCATGATTCTAGTCAGAATTGTGAGTACATTTTGCATGTAAAGATCACGGGCTATTTTAGCATTATCCAAGATGTATCACGTGAAGGTATAGTCCGCCTAATATCTCTTGGCAGAGATCAGGAGCCCACAGTTCGTCACTCCTACAGTATTTAGAGAATCAAAACCATATACGTGCGCGCGTACATGATTTTGAATTTTAAATTGCAAAAGAATCTGTGCATATTGATTATGCGATGTATTCAATATCAGTAAATCCCCGAAATAGTATCTTACTCAAGGCTCGATTGCATTCTAGGCATTCAAATCTAAATTATTAAATTGTCTTGTTTTTTTTACATTTTATATATTTTTTCCTCTAAAGAGACCAACTTTTACTAAAGTAATTTTGGTTATCTAGCG